ATTCATTCATACGCAGCTGCCATCCGTATGCAAGGAAGTAAGCACAAGATGCCGAAAACCCTTAGCAGGATGCAGCGCACCCTTCATGCGACTCGCCGAATATCTCACGGCGCTTCGCGCTTGGTGATGTGAGAGCCTGGTCCGGTGAGAACCCGGCGTGCTCCGTCCCGGCTTTGTAGGGATGCGAGGTCAATGGTCTAACGACTACGGCATGCACGACTATGAGTACCCCCCCCCCCCCCGCCACCTGAAGGGCCACGATAGCCTCGATATCGCTCGCATTTGTTCGTGGAGCATCTAACAGAAGCGCTGTAGCGACCCGCGCATCACGGAGGCTATCCTCTGGATACGCCGAGCCTCGAATCCGCAAGGATCGGTAGGAAAACACGTCAGGCCGTATGCCAGCGACAGCACCGAAGCCTGCACGTCGCCGTCAGCGGTACAACGTTGTTAGGCGAAGGTCCGAAGAGGCGTGTGAGTTGCGCCTATGACGAGGCAAACAGTGGGTAAGCCTTGAGGTTTTCGTCGCCCGCAACCTTACGAGGTACCTGAACTACTACACTACGTTTTGTGAAAATCAAAACACTCTCGCACTTCGAGGCCGCTGACTCTATCCGTTTGAATCCGACCTCCTCGATCAGAAAACCCTCCAAATATCACCCCGCCTTCTTAATCGTATTCGTTACCCAGTCTCGCCTGCTCTGGAGGAGTCGATGCGATGATCATTGCTGTACCGGTGGCTCCAAGGTTTGTTGAAGCTGTCGATTCGCGGGAGTCGGAGACAGACACCAGGACATTGTACCCATCGTCCGCCAAGCCGCACGGGATCTTGGTGGACAGGGTGGGCGATGCTGACCAAGAGGAAGACAACCGGTTCACTAGCACCGATTCACTATGTAGAAGGAACAGGTATGACGGACGGGAGCGTTGGGTAGCACGGGGCGTGACCTCAGACATAAGGGTTCCATTTTCAACCAAGGTTCACCTTCGTTCTCATTTTCTCGTCCGCTCGTACTTGTGCTTCAATGGGTTAATAGACGAGGCGGAAAAGTGCCGCGCAGACATTCTTGGACAACTGATATCGTGTGGGTGTGTCAGGGATTCTATGAAACGATGTTTACCTCGGTTCAGATGGCGATGAGCAACATCCGACAAACACACACGAACATTTGGACCTATTGGGTTCAGGACACGGGGTACCTCGCGATCGTTGCCACTTGTTGGTACCCATGCACGAACCCAAAGGAGTGCGTGAACGGAAGCTCGTCCACGCCATCCGTCCACCCTATGCTCTGGAGACGGACGCCATCGACGCCGGCGTTCGCCGATGAGGTATTCGATTCCACGTGCCCCCCAGCGGGGGGGGCGTTGGTCTCGAACGAGTACTCTGTTTCGGCGCATGTAGGAAACAAACGCTTGAGAGGACAATCACTGGCGGGCATCATGGGGAACTACTGTATTCCATGACGGCCGCGTTGGAAAATGAGTCGGAGAAGAAAAAATTAGGTGTTCGGTTCTTAATCGCCCTCCTCACGCAGGGTCAGGCCCGGCATGACAACTTCAGCTCCATCAAGAGACTATCTGAAACAAAGGGCGACCGTGCTCAGGCAATCAGGATAACTTGGGACCATTTTTTTGTGTCTACGTTTTAACGCGGACCTGCATAGCCTTTCTGCCCGGATGTGTCGGTTGCAGATAGGGAGAACGCGTACGTCCGCCCCGCGCCAAGGACTCCTTTTCGGACAACGAGCACCCGATCGCTCGTGGCGGCGCTGAATACATCGTCCCACCCATTGCTCAAGTCGAGGTTTTCGCTCTCCTGTCGACAGTTCGAACAGTTGGGAAGAATATTAGAGTTTAGGCCTGCACCTCCTGCGCACAATACACTGGAGGGTCATGTGCGATTCAGATGCATGTCCCCTCTTCATGGACATTAAAGGGGGCTCCACCGCGCGCGGGGGCTGCTCTCTTCTTACCGGTCTCCACTCTAGCGTCAAGATTGACGACGTCGAGGAGCTGCACGGCTCCTCTGCAGATGGGGAGGCACACCCCTGTAGAATAATTTTTTCCGAAGGGTTGTATTTGCGGAGAATGGCCCGACAAACGCGACAAAAACAGACACACGGCAGACGCAAGAGTGAGGTGTCGCCAAGTGATGTCGTTCTGCTGTGAACACACTCCTCGCACAGCACATGCCGACACGACATGGTCTGCGATACTTGGTAACTCTGTGTCGCTTTTGCCCGAAGGTTAGTCAGGGAAGGTGATCGGAGAGCCAACCTTAAGAGAAACGGTCACGTGCGGAATAGTTCCCTCGAACGTGGAAACATGTCGTTGCTTCTGAGCTCTGCCGAGTCTCGAAAGGCAGTCACGACGAACTTGTATTCCACACCTGCGAAGGGGAGCGGACAATAGGAGCTCGATCAATTCAACGTCAAAGGTCTGTCGTCCTTAGCACGAAAGATGGGCGAAAGAAATCAGGTCGAGACTAATAGTACCTACGTAAGCGGCGTACGACCTTTCGGTACATAACCGTATGACCGTCGGACCTACCGATTGGAAGGGTACCCGCAGATATCATCAGTAGTCCTCCGCTTGAGAGTGAGTCAATATCCAAGAGCTCCGTACTCGGACATGTGCAATCTTCTCCGACGTCGTCAGTACAGTTCCATCTGAACTGAAAGGGGGATTCGTGCAATTGGTCGTCATCCACCGACACGGACGCGTTCAAGTAAAGGTCCTGAAAGACACCGAAAAGTACATGTACAGCGAACGAGAGTAGAGGAGATTTTTAGCTTGATGGTGGAGCGATCATGTAGCTTGATCTGCACAGCCCTATCCACCCCATGTATCAACAATCTAGGACCCATCAGCAGCCAACGTTTGACGACAATGTTTTGAAATGAAGAAGGAACGATGAAAGGTATTTTTCCTGCATACGACGAGGGCGCTTGGTGTTCAAGGAAGGGCTTCTCCCACCACGATCAAATCAAAATTCGAATGTTACTTGGTCGTGACGGCGCGTCTTTTGTCTATGTCAAAACCATTGTCGACTTGGATGATGGTGTCCTGGAGTGTATTTTAACGGTTGCAATAACGGAGTGAAGATTCAAGCATGCACCAACTTGATCTCAGGCACGATTTGAACCTCTTTGGAATTTTACCTGCATGACGCCAACCCTCCTCGTTGTCCCACCAAAGATGCGGGCGATTATTGCTACACTGATAACCTCAACTGTCGGGGTGAAGCGTGAGGGAACTCAGCGGTTTCGTTTCAGTGGCTACAAGAGAACGATCATTGCAACACAGATCTATCAATACATCGATGGGAACGGGTCAACTTGTTTCGACATGCTGATGTGCAAATGGAATGTGGTGATCGCATGACGTTGGGAGCACCTGTCGCAGTATCCGAGGTAGCGCTCGACGTGCTGCCTGCAGCGGTCACCCTGAAGACGTAGATGCTGCCGGCGTGTCCGAAGGAATGTGCGGGAAGCTTGAGGACGCTGGGATTTCTCCCCTTGGTCAGCATCTAGTGGAATGTCCTCCGTGGCACTGTATTCCGAAGCCAGGGTCCATGTGTAAGTAAGGTTGTCGTCTTGGGAACGAGGCGACGTCACCTCGGTGCGGACGGTAAGCGGAAGCCCACGCCACTGCTCCCAAGATACAGATTCCGCAATCTGCAGGGGGCAACACAGTATCGCGGTTGACGTCGGCGGCACAAGCATAGCTGGGTGAACTGATAACGTAGGTGTGTTGTGGCCAACAACAAAGCTCGGCATAGTACTAAAACATCGTGCAGTGGGGTGGTTGCCATTGATCTTATTCCCTACGATCGGGTGCGAGGATCATGAGCAGGGAGCCAATGCAAGCAGTTTCAGTCCTGCAAGTCAAGGGAAGGATCGATGTGTTTCCTGGACATCCACTCCTAGGGCAATAATTGGCAAGTCTAACTTGGGTTGTGTACCTACCTTCAGCGGGAAGGGCATCCGTAGACTTGAATACCTCTACGCTAGCCTCGCTCCACAAACCAATCCCGGTCGTCACGCGGAGGCCGAACCAGTATGTAGAACTTTCACCCAAGCTTGCACTCGGCAGCGTGACAACCAAGGCATTTTGAGCCCCGGCCTGGAGATCAAGCAGGTCATTGACGGCACGCATGGGGGAGCGAATAAGGTTCCCACTGTGCGGGGGACAAAGCCACGGCGCATGCTACTTTCGGCTGTGAGAGGGCATACGGTTGCCCCCACCCCTCGTTGGGCACCACGAGAAAGAATTATCTGCAGGACAGCTTGCACAGCATCGTGCCGTCGATGGCACTCGCAATGTCAACAGATTATAGAGCTCAGGACACCGTCGTAAGATGAACATCGAGTAACCCGCCTGGTCAAGAACCGTTCTTGCGTCGGCAGGGTCGAAGGACTGATTGCAATCCATAATCCCAACGGTCCAGTTGCAAGTGAAGCCTGGGTTGCACACGGGAATCACGCAGTACAGTCGTTGGCGTTTGAGCCGGTACCGTGTGGAAGACAACGCAAGCGTTTCGGGAATGGATTGTAACGCACGGCAAAAAAAATGTGAGAGCGAGCCTCAGCAGCTTTCAAATATGCGATCGACCGTGTCTCCGCAGCACGATTGAAGGGGTGGCCACATCAGCAAACCATCGTTGGAGACAGGTGGTGCCAGATCCCGCCGACAACAGAACCAAGGCAAGGATCTCCACGTCGAATCAGGAGGAAAAGGTTCCTCAAACCTAGATAAACTTGTGAGACTGCTTCAACAGTGCCCAGCCTTATGCCTTTGTCCCCCTCCCTCCGCAATTCGCAGTTGAGCGGCGAAAATAACTGATGAGCACAGGGTCGACCGTCGTTCCAACATGCCAAGAGAGTATACTTTCTCCGTGGCCACGGAAGCATTCGAAACTGTGGCCTTCGGAGTAGCTACCGCATCGTGCTTGGACACACGCAGAACGCCATGAAGGCGCGACCCTTCTCTGCCCTCACTGCACATCAGCCTTCACGGTTGCACATCAGGCATACCTGTTGAAGGGTAGATCGCGATTCCCTCCAAGATCAAGTCGTTAGCAACCCACAACTTCCGGAGCGCTGATATCAACGACGGTGCATTCGGCTAACTTGCGGGGCCAACCACAACACAACCAGCGGCCGCGGAGAGAAAGGCCTCGATCTACAAGACACAAGCATCCACGGATAGAAACAGACGGGTTGGACTAGGTGGCCTAAACAAGCTCCCGTGCGCGTGAGCGAATCTACTAGAGAGCATATCTTACCATGACGGCTAGCGTGGCAATAGCGGCCGAATGCGGCAAATTTGGGGATCATTGCCCGAGCTCTAATGATTCGGAGCCTTGTCACCATACCTCGGTGCGAGCTATTCCATCCAACAAGGAAATAGATGTACCGTCGCCGTCGGTGCAGTTTGAATCGCTCGAGGGCCGAATAGTGTAGTCGGATCCCAACTCAACCTGAACACGTGTGCAAACCGTTCACAATCATTTCGAAGGCAAGGGGCTTCAGTTGCCTGCAACAGCCATGGGCATACCCCTACAAAAGGGCTCAAAGCATTTGTTAAGCAGCCTGACAAGGCGCACTGCAGACTATCTATCGACCACCGCGTGTCACGGCGCCAGGGCTCCATTTCAAGACGTGCCCGACAAACCAAAGTAGTGGCATTCGACACGCCATGAATAGGTATCGACCACCGGCCGCGAATATTACATCACTGTACCGTTAGGATTGAGGAGGACGTAAGTTTAGTCTGGCAGCCAAGGCCCGGAGTAGCCGCAGAAGCTTCGGAGAAAGCTTCCGCAAGGCACGACAGCATAGCTGCCGTTAATTACTCGAGAAGAAGCACTCCATTCGAATTGAATCAGAACTTGCGAACGGACGAGGGATAGAGAGTGGCACACCCTGAGGTTTAGCTCTCTACACAAAAGCACCGCCTGGTCAAGACTTGAACGCTGGCGGCAAGCCCTCGCCCTCCTGGAGGTAGCTCCTACTTACCTGTGCTCCCTCATGGAACGATTTCGACATTTTCGCGTGAATGCTCTGAGCATTGGTGGACACCGGTTGCCAAATGTGTGCAACTCACACGGAAGTTTCGGTGGCATACCCATCTGTTGTCCGGTGTCAGAAAACCATGCAGACGACAGCTCGGGCGTGCGCGCCTGGACGACCACCGACCCTAGTAATCCATCGGAGTAGACAAACAGAAAGCGGTGGAACAAACGGAAATTGAGCTTAGTTCTAAAGGTGATCGGGCCATTTCCTCCGCGCTATCGGAATGCGTTGACGATACAACATTGATTGGGTCGGCCAAGAGAGTTGTATCGCCACCTGTGACTATGGACAGACTGGTGTGTGTGTGTTTTCAAACGACCTACAACTTGCAAATCTCGTCACTCGCACGCAACGCTCTCAACAATTTCCCACCAATCTCCTCGCTCTTGCCTGTAGCGTAGTCGGTGCATCCGGAACAGCCGGCAATGTATTCGCCAGTTGGGTTGAGCGTGATCGTCGATCCTTTGCCTACGGAGCAGCCTGGGTACATCAACGGCACCCGAGATGGATCTTGATCTTTTCTACGCTTGTAATGTCTTTCTTGGGGATGGTTACGCGAGAGGCATATCCGGTACCGTGCAAAAGCAGGCCTAGAAGCCACATCATAGCCGTGAGCCACTTCCTAGCGGTGAATAACATATATTCGTAAAGGAGTGATGCGGGGGCGAAACATGAAATGCTTCCTCGTGACAACACCGAGGGTATGACGCTGACGAGGCAAGAGGCCACGCGGGATTTTCCCTCCCAAATCTGTCACCTGTGCCGCAAACAATCGTTGCCGTGCTTTCATCCTTCCAAGAGCACGATGGCCCGCTGCCTAGGCTCGCCACGGTATCGCCATCGAGCAAATCGTCCACGCTGCACACCGGCCCAAAACAGCGTGTGCCGTAGCACCACAACCCTTTTCAAGCAACGGACACGACAGGCCATTCATCAAATTCGCGAGTCTGTCTGGGCCATTCTAGAGTGCTTCGTGGCATTTCAGGCGTTCGCTAGCGATTTCGTCTACGCTAATGTTGCCCACATCGTCATGCTGGAGTAGTGCAAACCGTACCCAATGGTGTGGAATTGGCGACCTAGAGGATGCCTCCACCGGTTTGACACGCCAAACTTTGTACCAAGGCACACCCTATCCATGACAGGCATGCACACCTCGACTCGCGATACTCCAAAGTAGGTCAGCAACGCGTGGTCACGAGAATACATGTCAACTCAGAACTCGAACTGTAGAACCGTAATCCCGTGTAGGGGCAAGCGACGCCCACCCTTTCGCCCATCACCTGAGCTCGCCCCACCGTGTCCAAAGGTCGCATCTATTCCTATCAATGCCGCCGCTAATCTAGCTTCTTCAAGCTCCGGGCGTGATGAGAGCATCGTCGGCCCGGGCGTCGGTGTGGATGTTGGGGGTGGTGTCGGAGAAAGAGTTGGACCTAGAGTTGGCGAGAGAGTCGGTGCTTTCGTGGGTCCCGGCGTGGGCGCTGACAAGGACGAGGACAAAAAACGAGACGGGGGAATGGTGCAACATAGTGAGCGTTGGGCCACAAGGTAGTGTGAAAAGGTTGTACCATTGACTGCCACCGCTCTGTGTTAAGCAGCACGCCCAAACCATAATGTACATGCTTGATCACCCTACAAGCGTCTGCCAGATGTTAGACCAGATATGTCGAAAACAACATGTTCCGGGCTTCGATATATAGGCGGAAGTAGATGGTGTACGTGAAAAACAATACTAACGCTTCGCACCTGGAGTGGGAGCGGGAGTGGGAGCGGGAGTGGGAGCGGGAGTGGGAGCGGGAGTGGGAGCGGACGATGTAGCCAGCGTGGGAGCAAGTGTTGGAGCTTGTGTCGGAGTCAGCGGGGAAGCGGTTGTGGGAGCGGGTGTTGGAGCAGGTGTTCGAGTCAGCGCGAGAGCAGGAGTGGGTCCACACACAATGTCCGTAACCACGAGGCCGCCAGTGTTTTCGCTTGCTGCCAAAGAGATGAAGAGCCTTTCCGTAGTGTTGGAAGCGACAAACCCAGCGATGACTCCTGACACTGTGTTCGTTTCGCTATTGAGCTGAACCGCGACCCCACCAAAAAGGCCCCGGTGGAACTATCTAACTACTGCTTCTTCTACATTGATCTTGACCTGCTCCTTGATAAGGGCGTCGATTACGTTTCGCTGCTCGTCCGAGAGCTGGAGCTCATCCAGCTGCTGCTCCATGATTTCCGTGTCACTGTTCTCTGGCCGAACCCTTTGTAGCCACCTCGGGATCCCGTATGATATCACGACGCTAGCGTGTTAGGATAATCCGAATTGGGGGTAGCTTGTCGCAAGACGTGTGATGAATAGGGTATCGGCAACTCGGCGAGCTCGCGCCGAGGAGAAAAACTTGTTGTGATTAGTTGCATCCACATAATACACACACAGTCCCCGTTGAGGGGGCGACGCTGTATACAACAGGGGTACCTTGTACATCCCTGGGATCCATTCTACGTACCACACATGTCACCCGGTATTCCGCTCTACCTCATTCCATGGTCACATCCCGTACCAACCACTTGGCATTGCTACAAGTATATTTATGTCATGGGCAGATAGTTGCAGATCAGCGGCGAGGAGGAGGTTCTTTTGAAAGTAGTACTGGTGAGGAGATGGGGGGGGCGTACTGTTTTATTTTTGTGCGTCTACGGTAGTCAACTATAAAATCGAGCTTACAAATGCCGGCACTCTTGCTTTGTTTATTGCCGCGAATGTCCAATACATGGGTGTGTCGTGTACCCTGTGGACACCGGCTGGTGGTACATATTTTTCGCGGCAAGGCATGGACATTCTCGGGCTTGGACAACCTCGCCTGCAACCAAGCACAGATACCAATGTCCCTTAACTGTGTTTGGGCCGGCGTTTCCGAACCCTGCCTGACCTTGGAGGTTGGCACCGGTGCGCCCGATCAGGTTGCGCAGGTTGTACAACGCCTAAGGGTTACAGGTCACTTAACCCCCCCGTAACCGTGCCCACTGCCCACCTGTGCGGGTGCCTTAATTGTGTACCTGCATTGTGGAACACCCCTCCCTTCAATGTGGAACGATTCCTAGTCAGTGTCGATGTTTACACTGCTGTGCCTAACACAGATCTCTACATAGATTCGGGTGATTGCCAATTACAATGATGGCTTTGGTTGGGTGTTCTTCTCCATTGATTGTATGTCCACGGACTCATTCTGACAGCACTTCAGACAGCAGTACGTTGTAGTTGACATTCATTTTTGTTAAATGCGGGACAAGGGGGGTGATGCTGCTGCTTTAGTCGAATTGTAGTGTGTGGGCGTGTAGTTCAGTTGTGAGCACGCAAATGTGCTGCAGGGATTGTACGTGTACCTCCTCGGGCTTGTGTACCCTTTCTTGCTAATAGTGTATGTGTTCTTTAGATCTGATGGCTCTACCATTTTTGTGACCACGAACCGAGTCTTTGGTAGATTTTGAGACTAGCAACTGACACGAGTTTAATGTGAAGAAAACAACAACAACAACAACAACAACAACAACAACAACAACAACAACAACAACAACAACAACAAAAACATACATCAGGGGAACGGAGACTTGAGAATTCTATGTGTGATCCTGTGTACAGGCTGCGCGAATAGACAACAAACACTATCGTCGTTCTGGTTCCACACGAAAGGAGAGGTTTGAGCTGCGCCGTCCTTGAAGGTCGAGTAGCAGACATGACGGGAGGGTGGGCCAGCTTCGATGATTGGGACCGTACAAGTTCCGCGCGACGCATGACACAAACACCCGTATCATATACCTTTGGGGAGCTACCGGTGTGGCCCCTCTCTTCGAACATCGTTCGTGGAAGTCCTGGTAGTGGGCACTCGCCGCGGCGAAACGGCCAATTGGATTCCCCGATGTCCAGACCTTGAGCGGCAGTTGGAGCCCAAGAGTAGGCAGAACCTCTCCGGCCTTCCGCTGGGTCGCGGGGCGCGCCTGATGCCTGATGACTCTAATGACAACGCCGGTCATCATGCCACAGGAGCAGCGCGAATGTCTAAATGTTTCTGTAGATTCGGATCTTTTTCGTCCGTGGCGTCTCGTAGTCTTGGTTCGCCGTTCTCCAACCATTGCACTAATAATGTATTTTATTTTATTTATTTTTGCCTTCCGACAATTAATTGCAGATGTACCTCAGAAAAGTTTCACTTAATGTCTCATACTCTACATGAATATTAAACCAATACGAAGTACAACAACATATGTAGGACTTATTTCTACTGTCATTTACATCGTAAAAGTATCTCCTCTTCAACTTACCAATGACAATCCTGATGGTATCCTATATGCGTTCGTTCGTAAGCTTGCTAAAATACTACTGCGTTGATGTCCGCTTGTAAAAGCTGAAATCCAACAAATGCTTTGATCCATGCTACATCTCCGTGTTGGAAAAGCCCTTTCATCTCCGTTCATGATAACATCTTACCCTATTCTACGCAAATCTGTCACATCTACTCTCAAACAAGACGCCAACTTCAAACGAAAATCGCGTTCTACGATGCGTCTACACTCCATCCCCATATCATTGGCGTTGACTGGTCCGAGGTCGATCTTGTTCGCCTGTTTTCGGCGTCTTGACGCCCGCGCAATGCGAGCTTGTACCTCTGCACTCGCCGAGATATGGCCACCTGTGTAGCCACCGAAACGATCTNATTCTAGATACACATTTTCGGAACAAAACCACCAATCATCAATCTTAGGAACAATAATACAGCAATTGCTGTGCAATCTTCTCTTGACCAGCCACCAACACTTTGCTGTTGCCCAAAAAGAGGGCAATGCGTTCTTCATCCCGCCGTCCGACTAAAACAAAAAGCGTTGGAGGTCCATAGTTAGTTCTCGTCAGTTCCCGTTGTTCAACCCGTCATGTTTGACATAGACTACTACATAAAGAAGGGTTTTGTGTGTAGACTACATAACCAAACGAAAACGAAAACTAACCGGGATGCAGACGATCGACCCCGGGTCAAAAAAGGATGAAAGAACGAAAGACATCATCTTGTGTGTAGGTCAATTGGGGTAGACTCCAATACGCGTCCGCACTTATAAGGACACCTCTTTCAAAGTGTAGTTTCGGCCGAGGCTCGGGTTCTGGTAAGTTTTCAAGTTTAAGATACTTCGTAGTTCCTAATTAGCTATATTGTGTACATGCTACGAATGAATGGTTGGTCGCAATATAGGTTTCGGTGTGTGTGTTTTGTGTGTGGGGGCTCTTAACCGAGCTCACAACAAATAATTATGTGTGTGCTCAAGTTCTTCTGTACTCGGAAATAGTTGGAGCCAGCTCGCTCGTAGATGTACTTGTACATGGAATACTTAATTATATGGGTAGCAAACGACGGCAGACAATATTTATCCCTACTTTCTTCTGTTTTTAGACTAGAAAACCTTGATCTACTCGACCCCGCACAACATGATCTACTCGACCACCATTATGGTTACCGCCAAAAAAAAAACAGAGGTAAAAAAAAACACGGTAACCTGGTTGCCGAGTTCACGAGGTGAATCGGCTTATTTTACAACGAACGTCGTTGCCAAGCGACGAAAACCCAATCCCGATGGCAAACACCGAGGGGGG